ACACACACACAGTTGAAAGTTGAAGTTTTATTATTAAAAAGTTCGAATTATTAGCCCCCCTGTTTATTTTTTTCCTCAATTATATATATATAGACACACACACTAATCAAATGTTTGGGATCACTATTATTTTTTTATGTGTTTAAAGGGATAGTTCATCCAAAAATGTAAAATCTGTCATAGTTTACTTTCCCTTGTTTCAAACCTTAGTAAGTTACTTTCTTCTGTTGAATGCAAAACAACTTATTTTAAAATGTATAGGAAATTCGGTAACCATTGACTATCATTCTATTTGTTTTACTATAGAAGTCACTGGTTACAGGTTTTCAGCTTTCTTCAAAATCAATGTTCAACAGACAAGAGTCTCAATAATGTTTATAACCACTTCAGGTGAGTAAATAGTGAGTAGATTGTTTTTTTGTGTGTGAACTATCCCTTTAATAAAAGCATATTCTACTAAACTCTGATTAAAAATACAGTACAGTACAGTTTTTACACAGAAAAATGTGAGATATTATAACTATTATTTAAAATGAATGTTTTCTTGTTGAATGTTAATTTATTAAAGCTGAAGTCTTCAGTGCCATTCCATCCTTCAGATGTTATTAAATTGTAATTATAGTTGAATTTTTTTGTCATTGTTGAAAACTGTGAACATTTTTGCTGATAGAGTACCATTGAAAAATGTTTATTATAAGGTTTAATATTAAATTAACTTTTTTTTGTTTTTTACTTTTATTTCCCAAGATCACAAAAGATTTATGATATCAAAAATGATTTTAATTCATATAAATGCTGTTACTTTGAACTTTCTTTTCCACAAAACTATGAAGCAGAAAAAAAAAATCAGCATTGTGAAATAAGTATTATAATTACTAATATAGCATCAATAATTGTTGATCATAATAAAACAGCAAATCCGCATATTATATTGATTTCTGAAGGTTCATGTGACACTGAGACAAAAAACAACTAAAACGGGTTAAAAATTTATACTGAAAATGAGCAAACCACTGTTTCTCAACATTTTTAAACTTTTCTTTTTTATCAAAACAGGTCTCTCTTGCTATTATGGTTATTGAGAATTACAGCTTTTTGCATCTTGTCTGTTGTTGTCTTGTCTTGACTGAATGAAAACAGTTCCAGTAACAAACATGCTGTATATTAAGCACAAGTGAAATATTGAAAATGGAAAATTCTGTTTACTGCATCTACAAAAAACAACAACTGAGAGCGTGTTGTAGCATATTGTTTGATTTTAGTGCCTGTATTATACAAAGCTCTTTGAAATAAATGTTTTCTGATTGGCCAAGTGTTTGTGAATATTGATTGTAGTCCGTGGCAACAATGTATAATTGTTCTCTCTCTTTATGTTCTCTAAGATAAATATTAGGATCTTGATGGGCATGCCAGCATTAATATCTTTTATTTATTTAAATCTGTGGCCTCAGCAAGCTTAACATTTTAGGTACATTTGGGTACTAATATGCACCATTAAGGTACCACTGTGGACTATGTGGGTACAAGTATGTATCTTTTAAAAAAGGTACTGCCCCAGCAACAGCTCCTGTACCTTTATTTCTGAGAGTGTATAATATTATAATATTATAGTTATAAGTAATTAATTAGTATGTTAATGTTACAAAAAATAATAGAAATAAAAAGATGTTTATTTTTCACCTTTCAGTAAATTTTATTTTTACATTTTAACTCTCCAAATGTGAAGAATGAATTATATTTCATATATAGTATAGTAATGATAACATAATAAATAATAGAACATGTTGTTTTAACTCTTTAAGCATGTACACTAAAATCTATTATATCAAAATATAATAAAATAATCAATAATCCAAGAAATTTATCAACAAAAATATTTAATGACATTTAATGTGACATTTTAACTATTTATTGCTTATATTATATTATAAACCATACATGTTTTAAACTTAAACATAAATCTATATAATTTATTATTTAATAACTTGTTTTGTAATTAAATAATAGTTATTTAATTGGAATTTTATGAATTATCAATCTTTTTTACATTAATAACAAAAGTCTGAAAATATGCTGCTTTTTTGCAGACATACTGTAAATATCTTATATTGGCTCACAGTTAAAATTTGAGTATGACTACCAATTTTTAGACTCAAAAATGTTAGGAAACATTTCTAACTCCAATCAGAGCCCCATTAAAAGTTCACTGGGGGCCTCTAGGGGGCCACGGACTCCTACTTCAGAAACACGTTAAACCACCCTAAAAAAAGGATTTATTAACAACAGATCGATTTGCTTTTTAACATGTTTCTGTGATGCACTTTTGTAGCTTGTTCGATCATTTACAAGAATCCTAAACTGGATGCACAATATGATATTGGGAACTTTCACGCACGCAATTTACAAAACATCAAACCACAAGAGGGATTATAATGACGAGATGTGTGTTCTCATAAATAAACACCTTATAATTGCAATATCAGTTGTGCACATTTTAATGAATTTGGCAGTTGATTGACGGCTGGAAGTCTGAGGACAGTGGCAGCCAATGGGAAGCGGGGCTCCGGCTGTTTGGGAAGGGAGGCCCCTGGAGCAGCAGACGGCGAAGCTGAGCGCGGAGAACAGACACGAGCGTCCGGTGAAACGTCCGTCAATGAATCCGGTGCGTTAAGTGAGGTGAGTGCAAGCTTAAAGTTCTCCATCAGCTTCGTGAATCTTGTCTCGACACAAAACAAAAGTGTTTCCAAAAGTCCCGTCCCTGCGGAGGACCGCATTACGCACGCACAGCAGCGCAGTATCTTTCATTGCAAATGTATTTACAAAGTGTCACACATCTGCTGCTTTTTATTGTCTGTTTGATAGGGTGTGGAGAGAAAGATGTGTTTGTGACCGGAGCTCGCATCATTAAATCGCTTCATTAAATCGCTGAATCTCCTGTTCTGATCGGACGGCGCGCGCTCACGGTCCAGACGCGGCAGAATGGACGGACTTCACGACCAACAAGTGCCTTTTATAAAGTCTCATGTAAGTCTGGTGAAGCTAAACGCGCAATTAAGTTGATATATGATTTGTTATGTACTTGTGTAATTGATTGAGGACAGTTGGCGTTTTTATGAAACGTGACAGGAACGTGCCATTGACGCGCGCGATTCTGCAGCATAGGGAGCTTCACTCATTTTTGACGACATATACGATCACTGATAGTTCAAATGTACATATTATAATAGCATTTTATCTTGTTGTGGTGTATTAAATTACTTAAATGACATAATTTATCGTGCTTAGGCTTATAAACGTCACTTTTTGTGCTATTATTCAAATAAAAGGAACTTCTGTCACCTTAATTGATTCTGACTAATAAACAGTCACAGGTAATCTAAACGTACAGATTATAAAATCTTTATAACTTGTTTTAAAGTACTGTAATTTATTAATTTATCAGTTCTAGTTGTATAAAGTCTAGCTTTTAATATGATTCTTCAGTTTAAGTCTTTAACTTCTGTCCTCTAGAAAGATTTACATAGGCTAAATATTAAATGTGGCATGAGATGATGTGCATTTGTGTATAGAATGTATAGAAACTTGGTTTTACAACTTTTTAAATTAGGCAACATTATCATTTAGGCCTGCTTTTGAGCATTTTTTAAATTAAAAAAATAATTGGTGGCTTGTCATTTTTGTCAGTCCAAGACTTATCAAACTTTTCAGCTAAATTGGAAAAATAGTAATTCTTAGTAGATTATCAAGTCCACCTGAGGGCTGATCAAGGCCACCAAACATCGATTTTACCCCAAGAAATAAAAAAAAGTTTGATTTCTGAGTATTTCAAAGAAATCAAAAGAGCCTGAACACTACATCTAATGTAGGCTATGGTGCAGAAGTCTTTCAATAACCATCTCAACTCCCTCTGTCTTCATTTGAGCCGATTGATCTGTTGCTTTCTGTCCAGAATCCTCGGGGAAAGACGTCCGGCACGAGACCAGCAAAGGACAGAAAAAGAAAATTCATTAACTCTGACCTGGCGCTGGACACTGAGGGTAAGCACTCAGGTGTGGGGTGAAACAGACAATGTTCATTTCACGCCTTCTTAACATCTCGCTAAAATGCAATATCGCCCTTCGCCACCTGCACTCAGGGGCTTTAAAAAATCTCAATCAGCAGCGCTCGCCTCGCTCTTTGAGTGTCAAAACTCATAATTAAACCTTTGTACCTGTTGTTTCACCATCGTCTCTCTTTTGTTTTTTTGTTTTCAGAGCTGTTTCAAGATCTTAGTCAACTTCAGGAGACCTGGCTCGCCGAAGGTAAGCTCTGCTCTGTTTACTTGAGCTTCTCATCGGTTGATCGAGCTTTTGTTTCCAAGCGGAGAGAGAGAGAGAAGATTCTGGGGGAGGGGGAGCAAATATGCCTCAAGTTACAGACCTAATCTGCAGTCCAATTAATGCATCTGTAGCGAAGGCACTTGGTGTGTCATGCATACATTAGTGCTGGAGAAGAGCAGGAGTCTAGGGGGAGACCGAGGAGGTTCTACTTTGAGTGTCATCACAAATTACCAGAAGAACTTGTGCAGTCGCTCGCGCTCACTCTCTTCTCCTCTCTTCGTCCGCTTTTGGCAGCAGCAAAGGCAGACGAGCCACCAACACTGCCACCTTTCTCTCTCTCCCTCTCTCTCTTTCTCTCACGCGAACACTCTCTTTCTTTCCCTCACAGCTTTCCTTTTTCTTACTCTCTCTTTGTGTTTTAAGTTTTTAATCTGTCTTTATTTTTGTTGAGAAATGGATTGACGCTTGATCGTTTATTAGAGCTTCAACTTTTATTAATTTTTTTTCATCCGTGCTAACTTTTTTTTTTTTTCGGTTTGTTTTTGGCCATTTTTTTCTGTCTCATGGCAAGACGTGCTGGTTGTGGTGTAACTCAAACGTGATGCTTCAGGAGTTAAACGCGAGTGTCTTCTTCCCACCTTGCTTGCAGCACCGACCTTTAGGTTAGTAAATGGTTCACTTTGTGGTTGATTGTAGATGTGTTTAGACATATTTTTAATGTGATGTAAGTTTGGTTCTATATGAGAAAAAAGATTTATGCCATTAATAGCAGTTTTTACTCCAAACTTGCAAAATGTTGCAAATATAACCTAAAAGTTATTGTTTTTTGATAGTAAACTTAATTCTGATAGTTTTTATGTGAAACTGTTGATTGTGACGTTAAAGATGGCTTTTCTTGTCTTCGCTTTGTTTCAGACTATTATTCAAACTAATATGTTATGCTACCGATGGTTGCTATTTAAACTTAAAGTCATTTCTTTTTCTGAGAGTTTAATTATAATTCTGTTATTTAAAAAATATATATATTTTTCAGATTTTTCAAATATTTTCAAAGTTTTTTACTATTATTATAATTAAACTTATGTTTTTTTAATGTGATTTTATAGTCATTTTAGTTATCTCTTAATTTTAATAGTGTTTCTTAAAAAATGAAGTGTATACTGTTAATTGTGATATTAATGATTCAATAATAATGTTATTTCTTGTCTTAAATGATAAGATTTTTACTCTACTGTTTATTTTTGCAAAATGTTACAAATGTAACAAAAAGTAGTTTTTTGTCTTTAGGCTTATTCTGATGCTGCAAATTTATATAAAAAACAAGTTTATACCTTGTATGTATCAAATATGTGTGTATTGTATATGTATAACATTCATAAAGTCTTATATATCTAGTTAAATAACTTTTTTAGATTTCTAAAATGTTTTTGATCATATAACTATTCATAGTTGGCTTGTGATTCCATTTTTAGATATAAAGAGTTCAGATGCAAAAATCTCTAGATGCCGTCTGAATGTTCAGATAAATTGAGAATTTTTCTCAACCTCCTATGTTTATGCTCAGTTATTTCACTTGACAGGCAATGAAAAGAGCTTATATGTCAATATAAATGTAACATTTCTGATCCTAGACACAAGAGTCAGAAATATCTGAAAATATCTAATGGCTTTTAGATGTTTTGCACTTAAACTCTTAATATTATGTTGTCAGAGATTAGTTTATTCTGTTGTAAAGTTTAAAATACAAGTTGCTACTCCATCCCAGCCTTTGTCTGTTTATTGTAAAAAGCAGTTTATTGCAAATTAGGAAAAATAAAAATAAAATAAATTTGATCATACAACTATTCATACACAGTTGACATATGTTTCTATTTTTAGATATTACATTGTCACAGATTGATTTAAGTTGTGTACAGTCCTCATAGACGTAACAGCCTTTGTCTATTTATTTTAAAAAGAAGTTTGGTTGCAAATTTGAAACAATAAAAACAAAATAAGTTTGATCAACTATTCATACAGAGTTGGCGTGTGTCTCCATTTTTAGATATGATATTGTCACAGATTAGTTTATTCTGTGGAAAAGTTTTAAATACAATTTGCTACTCTTCATAGACATAACAGCCTTTGTCGGCTTATTGTAAAAAGCATTTTGGTTGCAAATTAGAAAGAAATAAATTAAAATAATTTTGATCATACAACTATTCATACACAGTTGGCGTGTGTCTCCATTTTTAGATGTGATATTGACACACTTTAGCTTAATCTTTGGAAAAGTTTAAAGTACAAGTAGGCAGTCCTCATAGACATAACAGCTTTTGTCTGTGTAATTTAAAAAGAAATTTGGTTGCAAATTAGGAAAAGAAAAGAAAAAAAAGTAGCTGGACAGCTGAAAATCACACAATGCAGTTTGTAAAACGATCCCAGCGCTTTGCATTTGTAAAACCACGGCTGTCTTTAAGCCTATGGGATGCATTTGCATTCATTTTGGACAAAAAGAGGAAATGAAGATGAGTTGTGTGTGTCTGTTTTCTGTTATCGCATCTGGTCTTGTGCGACTGGATTTTTGAGTCGTGCTGCATGAAAGTCCATCTAATGCAACTTAATCAAGCATCATTTTATTAAGCAACGTCTCAAACATCACTTCATTGAGATATAATTCAGTACAGCTGCACTGTGTGTTCAGGAAATTGTTTTTAAATAATTATATGATATGTCTCAATTTTGCTCAGCTGCATGTGAATAGAGACTCGATGTTTAATGCATACTTTAAAAAAAATCCTCACAGAATAGTTGTGGATTTTAAAATTAAAAGTTCGCTTTACAACAGATTTTGGACTTTACTGTCCTTGTCGAAAGAGTTTGATTATGCCAGATCCACCCCAGGGCCTCTAAAAGAATAAGACAGGACTTAAATATTTTAGTATATCCGGCAGGGATTAAAAAAAAAAAAAGAACTGCGCAGAGTCCAAAAAAAAGTAGTAGATATTACAGTGAGCAGTACAATTCAACCTGTCTTACATCCATCAGTTGCAGTGCCCCAAAGATTCAACATAAATCACAGAAAGATTTAATATATGACTTCCTGTCCATTAGAACTCAAACGAAGACCTTGCGGTTTCATTTCAGAGATTTATTAGCTCAGGTAATTGGAAAGAAGAGGAAGACATATGAGCGACGGACTGAATTTCCGGCAGCGTCGACTAAAGAGCTGATCATTCGACATGCATGTGTCATTTCACCCAGAAACGACTGACTGTCGCGAGAAAACCATTGTTATACAATCTTAATCCTTTTATTAGCATTTCAAGTCTGACTTTTACCAGGAATCTCTACAAGCTTTCCTCTTGTTCTTGTGATCATGAGTGTTTGCGGTTGTCTTCACGAGGTTGATTTCGAGTCATTCTTGGCCTGGCGCTGCAGTTTGTTTCATCTTCCGCTCTTTAGAAGTCATTGATAGTTAAAAAATGTAGATAATAATTTGCAACAAGAATCAGTCCAAGGCACTCGAGTGCCTTGGACTGATTCTTGTTGCGGATTTGATGAATCCCTTACCCAAAGAGCACCGACCATACATTTGAACTTACCCCAGAGCGCTTTTTGTTTTGTTTTTTTCTGTAGATAATAATTGTTTTAAATCTTGTTTTTGTCTATTAAATTACTCAAATAGCAGAACTTCTCAGTTTTAGGCCTATGACTTCACTGCAAAATCAATACTTTCGTTTTTAAGAGACTTTGTGTCTTGTTTCTAGTCCAATTTCTAAACATTCTTAAATCAATAAGCATTTTCTAGACAAGTTAAAAATACATTTAAAATCAGAATTATTAGGCCCATTTTGATTTTTTTTTTTTTTTTGATTTTTTAAACATTTCCCATATGATGTTCAACAGAGCAAGGAAATTCTCACAGTATTTCTGATAGTATTTTTTCTTCTTGAGAAAGTCTTATTTGTTTTATTTTAGCTAGAATAAAATAATTTTTTTAAACGTTTTTAAAGTCATAATTATTAGACCCTTTAAGCTATTTATTTTTCAATTGTCAACAGAAAAACACATCATTATACAATGACTTGCCTATTTATCCTGTCCTGCCTAGTTAATCTAATTAACCCAGTTAAGGTTTTAAATGTCACTTTAAGCTGTAAAGAAGTGTCTTCAAAAATATCAAGTCAAACATTATTTACTGTCATCATGGCAAAGATAAAACAATTCAGTTATTAAAAATGAGTTATTAAAACTATTATGTTTAGAAATGTGTTGAAAAAACCTGCTCTCCATTAAACAGAATTTGGCGAAGTAAAATAAACAAAGGGCTAATGATTCAGGGGGGTTAATATTTCTCACTTCAACTGTTTATAGTGTTTTGTTTTCAGAAATAAATCGAACCGCGCATCCCCCTCACCCCACACCCCCCAAAATAAATAATAATTTTGCTTACCCCACTGTCATTTTTAATAATAATAAAAAAACTTGCTTAATTTTGACCTTATTTCTACAAATAAAACACAATATTTTTTTACTTGTTTAGAAAATGCTTCTTTATGTAAGAATTTTATTTGGACTGTAAACAGGATGAAAGATTTAAGCAAGAAAAAAAAATTGCATTTAAAAAAAGGGTTAAAAAAAAACATTATATTATATATAGATTATAAAATTATATCTCAAAACTTGACCTAATAAAATGTACTTGAGTTTATCACATATTTATGTATAATTATAATTTTTATTTACTTTGGTAACATAATTAATAATCTATTTTTTATGTGTTTACATTTATAAATTATATTTAACATTAAAACAATATTTTAGACAATTAAATAAAAGTAACAAAGGAATAAAAGTAAAGTTTGTTTTAAAACTCAGTTTTAAATATTTACTATAAGCAAATGTATTAAAAATTATCAATATTTACATTTGTTTTTTATTGAAAGGCAGTTAATAAGTTTTTAAGTCCCAACTATAGAGTTGATCATTTGACCAGAAACAACTTATAGCCACTATATATCCATTAATCTTTTTTATAGCATTTTATGAGTGACTTTTATCCGCAGTCTCTGCATGCTTTCCTCTTGTGTTTATGAGTCTTAAAGCGTGTCTCTTTACGAGGTGGTTTTGCACCGTTCACGGCCTGGCTTCTGTCTGTCTTCTGCTCTTCTCCCTTGTTTCTTTTTTTCCTTGAAGAGATGGACTTGCTCCAGCACCTTAGCTAGCCTCAGGAGTGCTGCTGGGATCAGCTGTCCCATTCACAGGTTGACTCATTCGTCCCGCAGAGAAAACTGGCTGCAGCTCCGGCTCTCCTGCTCTCACCTTTTCTCTGTTTAACTGATGTTTGCGCTACTCGTCTGACTCCTGGTGCACTTGCGCTTTTTTTCTGTTCATTGTCTTCTGATGTGATTGGGGTCTTGATGTCCTTGATTGGGTTTACTTTGCATGGTGATGATCTTTTTGTTGATTTTGTGCAACTCAGCTTTTAAATATCGTAAAGGTAAATTGATGATTATCGGTAACAACTAGTGGCATGGTTTATTTTTGAGACAAGGGCTAGTTTTAACAGCTTTTAGTCATGTGAATATTTCAACATTTAGATTGATAGATAGCTCTGAAAGTGAAATACTGCTTACAATACAATGTAATTTAATGTCAAATTTATATAATAAATGTAATAAAAATAATATTGTGATATTATATTTTTTATTATATAATACATGTAGCATAATAATGCAATGCCATATAATACATATAATATTATTGTTTTAATAATACCTTTGTTTTACAATATAATTAACAATATTAATCATATATTTTTATATATTATAATATATAATTAAATATGTATGTATTTTTATTTACTTATTTATTAAAATATTCATTCATTATTTTATTATTATTTATGTGTGTAATTTTTATAATATTAAATGTTAATATTTTATAGCATTCATTAAAAAGTTAATAATATATATATAATAATATAATAATATAATATATATATAAAATGCATCTTGGGTATTTATTAATCTTATGATTAGTATAATGATCTAAATGACATTTTTACTATATATTATACCTTAAAATATATAAAAGCACTGTTATATAAGCTTTGTGACAACTAGGCCCAATTTCATTGGCTATATAAAGTTTCACAAGGCGTTTTTAAAGAGAAATTCCCTTATTTTGACATTTGACAATTCCCAAAGACACTTAAACCTTGTAAACGTCCAAATAAAAATCCAAGCTACCAACGATATGAGCGAAAACTTGTTGCCTCGCACAAAGCAAATGTTGATTTGTGCGTGTTGCGGCTTGTTACTGTTGTTGTGAAAATGAAAATCCAATTTTAGCGCAGAGGAATAAATGTGCTAATAGCCCCGTGCAGCGAGGTCTCGCGCTCCTCCGCCGCCGTGCGCCTTTGTGTCGAACTCAACAAGCAACAAACAACAGAAGTCATGCAAGAGTGCAAACGCATGTAATATAAACACCAATGCAGAGCTCCGTATGAAGGCTTCATTATTTGAGCATTAGCTCTGAGGAAGGGTTTGCTGGGTCTGGACGGCAGCCGGCGCCGCAGGTACAGGTGCTTCACCAGTGGGGATGTGTCCCAATTAGACAGTGTGAACACTAGGTGTTTTCTCACTGCATGGCTATCCTTATGAAGACACCAGTCATTGTGTTGAGCACAGTCGATCAAGGCGAGGTGTTTTTGGGGTTTTATTTGACAATTCTCAAACTGTTTAAGGCGAGAAACTGCAGGGAAAAACACTATCAGTTTGGAGATTTTTTTAAAAGTTAAAATTACACTTAAAGTATCTTATTTGTTGCACTTTATCAAAATGTGTCTGTATATTTTTTTAAAAATTACGTTTTTTTCAGCTGCATCGACCCATAAAAATCCACTTAAGGAGTTCTTACTTTATAGTTTTTTTTTTCATATCATATCTATATAGTTTTTTATTTATATCTATATTATCTTTTAAAAAATGCATTTGTTCATATATATTTTACCTTCACATATAACAGTCAATTCTACCAAAAATGTTGTTCACAGAATTTTCTGAATTATAGAATTGATTGTTATTCCCTCTGTTAAAACCTTTAATATTTAGATAAATAAAAAAGATTTAATTAAAAAATAAATTAATAAAATTTCAAACCTAACTTCATTAAGTGTTTATTTATTTCTGCTAGAAATATATGCAAATTAGCATACACTTTAAGAAACAATGCATATTTAGGAACAAATAGACAAAAATTACTTAATGTAAGGATTCAACTGGAGAAATATGGTTGGTCACTCTATTAAGTGTGTACTAACATAAAAAAATAAATAATAAAAACACGTGTACAGCAATTAGTTCAACATCTGCTAATACATTAATAAATTCTACGGTTGTGCTTGTTATCATAAGTTAATAAACTGCTA